TGTGTGGGGGGGGGGGGGGGCGGGGGGCTTCTTTGTTGGGTTGGGCGAGTGCCTTCCTTGGGGTGGAGTGTGCGTGTGGGGTGGTGGTGACGTGTATGTGTTGGTTGCGTGTGACGGAGCCACGCGGGGCGTGCAGCAGGCAGCCGGCGGACGGCTTGCGAGGAGGCAGGGAGCCCAGCAGCTGTTGCCTGAAAGCGCATGGGCGAGGGCGGGCCCGGTGCCTTGCCCGCGTGCCCGCGCTCACCCTCGCGCCCACCTCCCCACGCTTTCCGATGCAGAGCAAGATCCAGGAGACCAAGGACCTCATGAAGAAGAAGGCGCAGGAGATTGAGAAGACCAAGATAGAGGCGGCCAAGGGCGGCCCCTCCCGCATGTCGGCCATCTCCTCCATGGCGGGAGGCCCCTCCAGCGGCATGGGCGGCGGCGGGCGCGGCGACATGGACACGGGCCCATCGTACCGGCCAGAGCCCTCGGCGGCGGCCTATGCCGCCAAGGAGCCAGCTCGGGCCACCAAGAAGGGCATGCAGGTGGGCTGTGGGGTGGCAGCGGCGGCGGCGGTGGTGTGTGTATGTGAGGGTTGGTGCTGCTGCGCTATCCCTGCCTGCCCGCCTGCCTGGTGAGCTGCCCGCTGACCTCTCCCGCCACCTCCTCCCCCTCTCCCCCTCCTGCAGCTGGGAAAGTCCAAGGGGGCTGGGCGCGACTTCCTAGAGTCGCTCAAGGCAGAAGGGGAGCAGGTGGAGGATGTGGCCTCGGGCGTGGCGGCAGGTGGGTGGCCAGCCGGCGGCGGGAGGGCCGCTGCCCCTGGCCTTGCGGCTGTGGCGGGAAGGGATGGTTGTGTTTAGGGTGGCGCCATGCGGGAGGCGGCGGGTCGGCGGCCATCCTGCGGGGCAGCAGCAGGCCGGCATGCGGCCTGCCTGGGCTGCCCCGAGCAGCCTCTTGGCCTGGCCTGGATGTGCAAGGCTGCGACCGCCGGCCGACCCGCCGCAGCACACCTGGTTGGTTTTGTCCACCCGTTTCTCTGTTGGTTCAGTTCTAAACAGTTCTAAAGGGTCACCTGCTGCTGCCGGCGGCCGCCTGCTTCCCACCGCAGGCGCGGCGCTGAGCGGGCCCGCCCCTCCCTCCGACC